AATAATAATATCGTAATTACATAAAATAATACTAGGTAATAAATTGGATTTGAAATATAATAAAAATTATTTTATATTTTTATAATATGTTATACATTTTTCTAAATTATTAGGTACAACAAAATTAGCCATTCTACTGGTCAATAGTCATGACAAATTTCAGTAAATACCTAAGCAGCTCGTGTAGGGTTGCATACAAAATGTATACATTTCATGGTTCAATAAAATTTAAAGGACCAATCACCGGCCACTAAATTAAGTTTAAAAGACCATTAGCTCACTATTGATTTAATAAATGTAATTATTCTTGCAACCTGGCATACATCCGTTACATTTTATCTTTTAAATTAATAAGTGCCTAATATCAAAATAGAAAGCATTTTACTACGTATAAATTAATTAATTTTGATAGATAGTAGTAGGTACCTACATAATAATACATTGAAAAATTCAATTTTTATTTGAAACTATTGTTTTTGTAAGTCAAGAAAATAAATGCATTGTTTAAAAAGTAGAATCTGTTCTCGTTTATCAACAAAAAAGGGTATTCATAAATTAATTCCTAGTAATTTATTTTACTGGACTAATACTGAACAATATTTAAAAAAAACTATTAACAAACCTCAAATAGACATTTTTATGGCTGAATAGTGATAGTACTTCATCATTAAGTTTATTCCGTACACTAAGTTTTGTCAACAGCATCTCAGAAACCTCCATTGGCAAGTATACATTACTGTCAATGAACTTATACTCAGGTTCAGAAGGCTGCAAGTCAGTCTTACTTATTTGTTCAGCCATGTAAAGTTTTTCAATGTTGTCGCAGACATAGTCAATGCACAAATCTTTCAGTGTTTCAGGATTGGCATACATTATGGATGGTAAAATCTCTTGCAGTTTAGTTATTAAAAAAAAACAACAATCACAGAAAAAAACAAATTAATGATGCTACTTTAGGCTTTTAATGTTTACCCAAGAGTTCTCATAAGTTTACGAAAGTCACATTATTATACTGTAAAAGTCAGCTGATTTAAGATGGAGAGTGAAGACTGAAGCACAGACAAGAATGGACTGAACACTGAAGTATAATAACAATATTATGATCCTTCCATAGGTATTGTAGTATTATCACTATAATTTGTGATATTATAAATTATTATCTATGCGTAAAACGCAGTGGATACATTTTTCAACAAATGTGACAATTGATAACAAAATGGATAGGGAACCGTCGACCATGGGCTCACAATATTCAAAACTGAATTATTTACAAAATATGTAACACATTTACGCTATTATAATTTGCATTTTACAGTTTACACCCATGGTTATTATGATGTTTTATACTTATTGGTACTTACCCATTAACAATAATTAGTAATTACTGGGGTCTAGGGCTGAGGACTTCTAGTCTTTTTTTAATTGTCTAAAAAGGTCGCATAACAATGCGAACGCCGAACGATGATGTATAAACTCTAATTATGTCTCTTAACACAAGAAAGTTGAATTAAAAATTTTATTTTGTATATTTATCCATATTTTGCCGCTATTACAAAGTAAGCGCATATAATTTAGTCAAATACATAACTAGTAGGTGAACATTTGGTAAATATTGATATTAAATAAAATGTGAAGTACTTATTATAAGAAATGTTTTTTCCAAATGTCTACAGCCTAATATTAAATATTAATACTGTGGGTTAGGTAATTCACTATTTGGCCTATAACATCGTGGCACGGGTAGGAACTAGGAACTAGGAAGTAGACTTAAGTTGACCACACGATATTATTACCTATCTTAATTCGTGGTTGTCCGTCATAATAATTTAACGCATACCTATTGTTGATTGATTACCGTACAATAAATTGTTCAAGTTTTTATCAATTAATTACAATATTATTTTTAATACATTTTTTTGCATACCTACTTAAATATTATAACTTAGGTTCCATATTTTATATAATATTAAATTTTTTTGAACATAACATATTTGAAGTGCATATTATTTGTTTTTCAAATGCATAATATATGCTCTTTGTGCATACATATGAAGTTTTTGAGTACACACTAGAAGTTTTTCGCCCTAGTAATTATTAATTAGCTGGACCTATATCATTGATAATAAATCAAATGCTTATACTTTACAATAGTGCATTCAAAGTTGTATTTCAAAAGTTTTATTATTTTCAATAAACGTTTGATACGTTTTTTAAACAGAATATTATTTTGTGTCCATCTGAAATAACGCCGAGGGCCAGGGAGGTAGCTAGGCGTAGCTATAGTTAGTTTAGGTATTTTACGTAGCATGTATCGCTCTAATATACTTATAACTTCTACGTATGTAATGTATAGTGTATACCTATATAATATAAAAAGATTCAATATCATAAATTTGTTTTCACAAAGCGGCTAAATGGATGTCTCTCTGATAGTCTGATGTACAGTAGGTTACAAGTGGGTCGCAGTAATGGATGGTGTTAAGTTTTAATTCAATGATATAAAATCACAGTACACGAAAAATGATTCTGAGAGAGACGGTCTGTGGACTGTTAGCCAGCAGCCTATATAATATTACTCAGTATATTTTGATGATATTATTGTGATTTAAGTAATTCATTTTACTTTTAGGCTTAGTACTCTGTACTACAGTAGTGAAATTAATTTTTGCCAAAAAATTACATTTCAAAAATCATTGTGTGTATATAAAATATAATAATATACTCTAAAAATTTCAAGTATACCTATCCACGAATAATATTTTTAAATTACAACAAAATAACTTAAATCATTATTCTCGGTTGTTTATTAATATCTAATTTCGTCCAAATTTGAACATAACAAAACTATAAAAAAAACTGTGTTTGTACCTTTTTTGATAAGATACAGAATAACCTACTTACGTGGAAGGTGGAACCTTGTTTTAAATTTTCAATCCTTAACTATAAAAGTTGAACATTTTTAAATTTTTAACTACAAAATAATTTGTAAATTTTCAATTTGATAAATGTTGTCAAAATTTGAACTTTAAATGCCTATAAAAAAATCGTGAATATGTATTTTTAATATTTTTCAATTGCTGTTGTTACAATAAATAGGGAACCTTATATTACATTTTCAAGTTTTTTGACCTAACCTATACAATTTTATTGACATTTACAGAAAAAAAAACCAAAAAAAATTGAAAATGTTAGTAAACAGCTCAAAGCAAGTCAAAATATTTTGAACATTTTATCAAGTATAGGAAATGATAAAATAAACATTTGGTTTGAATTTCACGTATCTACAGTTGTTTGTTTTTGAATTACAACAAAATAGGATAATCGTTCCATGCAGAGAAATCGAGTGTATTTCCAACGTTGTAAGACAATTTCAAAAGCTCATCAAAATTTAATATGACTTTTCTGTGGACATTTTTTGTTGATAAAGGTAGAAAAAAAAACTTATGAGGAATCTTGTATTCAGTTTTCAAATCTATTAGATTAAAAATACATTTTTTTATACATTTCTGACTGAAAATAATTTACAAATTTTCTTAATTTTTACCTATTTTGTCATATTCGAAATTCAGAAGTTCATAAAAATTATTGTAGACTTACCTACGCTCTACTATCATTTTTTAATTTAAACTAACAAAAACTATTAGGGGGAACCTTGTAAGTTGTATTACATTTTCAAGTTTTTTGTCGATATTAAGTGAAAATGTCATGTAGGTTAGGTTAACTTTTTAAGAGTTGCAGTAAAAACTAAAATTGGTTTTGTTAATTTATTTATTTTTTGTTTTCCCCGGCGCTTAGAGAAAATTACGGATAATTTAAAATTTTGACCTCCTGAATGCACAAACTAGATTCACATTCCCACCGGAAAAGATACTGAAGTTGAAAGTCGAAATATTATTTCGACTACTCAACATGAATCTACAGACACAAAAATTTTTTTTAAAAATAACACATCATTGTAAAATTAATATATTCATCTCTCCGCTCAGAATCTAAAATAAAAAATGTTAAATTAGTCACCTACCTATATGGCTGTATTGTGATTTTAAAATGTACCTCATAATTTATAGGTAAATATATAGTCAGTATATATACCTACATAAATTATTGCATTGCTACGTAATGCTACCGTAAATTAATATTTAATAGTACTTAGGTAATAGTACCTAGGTACTTAATTATAAGAACCCAAACATGGCTAATGGCTACATCAATACATATTTCAATATCCACAAAATCAATGAAATTTCAAGAAATTGTGATCTATGTGAAAAATAAAATCCGAATTATACTGTTCTTCGATCTTCATAATTTTCATAAAGAATGGTACATTATTTATTTATCACACATTCAATCGACATAAAACAATTCATAAATATAAATTATAACTTATGAGTTGTAAAAAAATATATTATATATAATACATGTGGTCATATTTACATATTAATTTTTTGCCGTTAGATTTTTTGGGGGCTTTTTTTTTCGCAATTCACGTCACACTTAATGTTCGGGCCAATAGACATGATTCTTAAAAATTAGATAAATTATCTTAAACATAAATATGTTTTTCTCTTTTGTTTTCTATGCTCTTAACCCTCATAATTTGTATGGCCTAAAAATAATTATTTCAATTCATGGCAGTATGGCACGATGTACGAACTATGGTATACCTTCAAGGCTCCACGGTATAATATGCTCATGACATTAAAATTTGCATTTGTCATTTTGTTAATTTTGTTTATTTAGCTCAACAGGATTTCAAAATGTATTTTGTTTATTTTATTTTTACTAAGCAACTTTTTAGTTGTTTTTGAGAGAAAGTAAGCAGTAATCATTTAGATATCCCTATCTGTGTCCCTACCTCATAGACATATAATTATATTTATCATGGATGCTTAAATTAAATGATAACTGTTAACAAGTATAACACTGTCAGATAGTTGCAAAGTGATAAGTGATAACGTTAGTGATACAATTTTTATATTTTATAAATCAAACATTTGTGTTCAAAGATTAATAATTATTGATCACTGAGGTTTTGTAAATAATTCTTATATCAGGTAGTTTCTATCAAAACTCTTTAAGTAACAATTTTATTTTAGAAAACAATTTTTTTTTAAATTTCATCACTTATCTAGGTAACTAACGCTTCAAAGTACAATACAATAAACCATGGAGGTAGATAATTTTTTCCTATGACATATTTTATATTTAGCAAAAAAATACTTAAATACTTGTGTAAATAGATTTAACTTAGTTAATAATTTTTAAAAATATGTGTTAGGAAATAATATGTTGAGGTATCTACATGATTTTGTTTAGATCACAATTCAAAAATGAATCTGATTCTGAAGTATATCTACCTATAAGTTTTTTTTTATATTTTATAGTTATTTGGATTTTATAACTATAATCTCTTCTATTCGCAAAGCTTAAAAGAGTCTGTACATTTTTACCATACCATTAATCATTTGAATAGTTCGTTTTTTTTTTGATTCTATTCTTTAGTCAACTATTAGAATATACAATTTTTACAATTCTGCTAGACATCAGTTAATATTTTTTAAGTTTGTAATGTTGACAGATTTTATTAAAATTGCTTCACATACAATTTAGTTACTACCTTTTTGATTATCTTAAAAACACCATTCTCTAGAAATAGAGAAGTATTATAGTAGGTAGAATAGAGTAAAAGAGTTTTAAATAATACTAAATGCAGTACTTTTCTGTTTAATCAGACACCTTTTTTTTTTTTGCATTTTTTTTTTGTTTTAACATATTGAAATGATGGTGAAATCTCCTAGTACACTCGCTTGTAAATTATTCCTATATTTGTTATTTACAACCATCTTTGGTTTATCTCAGACTTCAATTTGCTTTAATTTCAAAACTAAGTCCGACCACCAAATTTTGACTTCATAATTGGTTTCAGCATGCTCAACTACATACGTTTAAACAAGGGTGTCGTTTAAAATAGAAATATACCCAAATTACAATTAATATTCTAAATATTTTAAGAGTTGTGAGAAACAGACATCATTTTTTTTAAAAATAGCAATAAATGTATGGTACTTCATAGTATTTTGTTGGGTTGTGCAAGATTTAATAGTATATTAAAATTGACACTCATATCTTAAACACAATGTAATTTTTTTAAACTGAATAAAATACTATTTTAAATTAATTGTTTTTAGGATTTAAGAAGATATTTATACCAAACCTTGACTAAGGTTGAAGGTCTTTACTCAATTGTGATATCTGATCATGATGGTGTTGTTATTTTAAAAGGTAAGTACTAGCAATATCAACTATATACTTTTTACAGATCTAATTAAAAATAAAATGAAGAGGATGTGATACCCGCATGTGTTGTCTCCGTCTTACAAGTGCGTAACATAGCAAATTGTACACTCAGCAGAACACGCGTAGCTCCATTAATTTAAAAATTAAAGTGAATTGACCTCTTATAAAATCAAAAGGTAAGATTATTATCTAGGGAACCTCATAGGCTTTATATTATATTTTTATTTTAACGCGAGTTATAAGTATTTTAAGATGTATAAAAAATTTACAATTTTAAAAAACTCATAACTCGCGTTAAAATTAAAATATAATAAAAAACATATGAGGTTGACTAGATAATAATCTTACCTTTAGATTTTATAAGAGGTCAATTCGCACTAATTTTTAAACTAACGGAGCTACACGTGTTCTGCTGAGCGTAAAATTTGCTATGTTACGCACTTGTAAGATAAAGACAACACATGCAGGTATCACGTCCTCTTAAGGGTCTTAGAAAAGATTTTTATTAATATGTTTATATCAACTATTTAAATAATTGATTTGTTGTTGATGACACTTTCATTTTTCAACATTACAATATTATGTATCTGTGTATTTATGTTATAGCTCATGCCAACAAATCATCTGAACAAAATTCAAATTACAAACATTCATTTTTATCAGAATTTAATTCTGCATCAGAACAAGCAGGAAAATTAGAACTTGGAAAAAACAAAACAGTGATATGTTTTTATACTAACAATCAAGTGCGTATTTAAAGTTTTATGAGTTATGTAGCAATCTATAAGGGGATTGGAAGCGGTGGTTTTCTGTCTTTGTCTATATAGAAATTTAAACGTGTTTTCATTTCAACGTATCAATTTATATCTCGTGATGCGTTAAGAATTCCAAAAACATTTGAATTTGTTGTCAAGTCTACTAGAAATTGATTTCCCTAGATTTTGATTTTTCTTGATTGTAGATACTAGGGAGGTAAAATTAAAAATGTGGTAAAGTCAATCTCAAGTAGACATGACCACAAATTCAATGTTTTTAGAATTTTTATTGCTACTTCACTAGATCAATAATTCCTATGTTTAATTTGTATTAGATAAAGATACAAAATCACCTCTTCCAATCCCCTGAAGTTAGAATTTCCCCATGTGGCAGTACCATAAGAAAAAAATCCCCTAAAGTTAAATTTTTATGTTATAAAGTGACGAATATGTAGATACCTATTTTATTGATTATTTTGTTACTTAAGCATTCTAAGGCATTCTATTGAGTAACAAAAAAATAAGATTTTATTTAATATGAAAATAAAAAAAAATGTCTAACTATTTGTTAGGTATTTAGATTTTTTTTGTGACCTCAGATATTAATTAATCCAAAATTGTTATTTCCGTATTTAATCAGCATTTTATTTGTGTAAAAATGTTTAATATTATACCTATTTCTATTAAAATAATGTTTATTAGTTCATCTTATTTTGTGTTTATAGTTAATGTTTTCACTACTGCACTACCTATTTGTGCTCTGCAACTTCTTTATACACCATAAAATAAAATATTTTTAATTTTAAAATCTATACAACCTAATTATTTAAATTTAAAATTATGCGAGCTAGTGTTTTTTAAAATTGTACAGTTACTGGCAAATGATAATATTATAAAATAAAAGAACTTAATAGTACGTCAAGGGCAGTGAATGGTGTAAATATTTTGGGCATAATAGTATGATAAAAGCAGTGAAAAGATGTATATAATAGGCAGTACAGTTTTTAACTTTAATTAATCTTTATTTGTATTTGTTAACAGGTAGTCCAGTTAAATTGCTCAAGATTTTTAATTACATTTGTGGCTTCTGAAAAAGCAAACACTGGCATTATATTAGGGTTAGAAAAAATACTGGAGCCATTACTAAAGGATTTGAGAGCTATTCAATTTCCTTAAAAATTACTTGTTTTAATTTTTTTTCTTGTCACATTATATAATATAAAACTTTAATTGTCTCCTTTCACCCTAAAGATTATTGTTTTATTCTACTTTAATAGTTTTATTCTGCACTTTCAATAAGTTGAATACTGATTGTGTATTTGTTATTGTTATTACTACAAATTAATAGAATACAAACAATTATACTTTGGTACCTAATTATATTTAATAAATCTTATTTTTTTTAAATAATTCTAATTGTTTTTATAAACTTCTTCTAAATATCAAATATAAGGAAAAACTAGTTTTAGTTTTAATTTTAGTCCAGTTTCATTTTTCTATTAATTTCCATTTAATACTTTTAGCTATTCAAGATGTTTTAAACAGGACATTTTAACAAATTTGTAAATTTAATTAACTAAACACAAGCATTTTATAATGCAAATTCATTATACTTACCTTTTGTTTTTAGGTAAAAATAATACACAATGCAAACCTCCACCAAAGATTTTATAAAATTGCTGTACAATTGTATTAAAATGTGAATCAACCTGTATGGAATTATACTTTCACAGTGTGTTTTGATAATTTCATAGAAGTCCCGAATGTTGTTTTGGAAACAAATCTATTACTTCTTCTGGTTTTATATCAATTTGATGGTGAATATTTAATAATGATTATCAAAAACCTACATTTTTTGTGATTATAAGTTTAACGTCACAGTTATATTTTTACACATCTTATGGGTCATGGGGGGCAGGCCCCTCAGGCCCCCTCCTTAAATCCGCCACTATGCATGTCTCTACATTCCCACTTTTTAATCACTCACATAGTTGCATCTTCTGTTGGCCAAAATATTTGTTGACTAAAATAAGATTCTGTTAAAATGTAAGTCTAAAAAAATTTTTTTTGCTGAGATGAAAAAACATATCATTTATAATTGTATTTTGTTTGTCATGAAATAATATGATATAATAATGCAAAATGTAATATAAAAAATATTTTATTTTTATTTATGAAACTAGAATAATATGTAATTATAAAACGACAACTATGCGGTGAATTGGTAAATATTAATATTTTGGTGAAAAGAAATTTATTTTTGATTTTATTGAGTTTTAAATAGATGATTCAAATTTTAAACTGAACTATAGTCAGTAGGCATTTAAGTTTAGGATGTTTAGTTCAGTTCTAAAATCTTAACATGGACACAATGCTAGGAGTGCAGGGCAAGGCCTCAACAAATCTCTTTGCTTTCAATTACTTGAGTACCCCCCCCCCCCCCCCCCCCAAATATTTTATAAGGCCGATGGAATGGGTAATCAATCAATATTTTTGGAAGGTCATATTAGGAATGACAATTTTTGCATTACTTATTCTACTGTTACTTCGTCTTTACGATGACAATTTAATGACGTAAATCCATTAGGTAAGTCTTAACTGGCCAATAGAATTTCTAAGATATGTTTTTATTCGTTTTAATGTAGAAAAACTTCTTTTAGGTTCACACGATGTAACAGGCAATGTTGTAAATATTTGAAGGAGCTTAAAAACATTTGGAAATAGGTCTGTATTGCACTTATCAAGATCATTAAGAACAATTTGTACACTTAGTTTTTCTAAATGTGTAGCCATAACTTTACCTCTGTTTCAATAACTTCTTGATCAATATCATTCGAATAAAACTCACTTAAATAGTTAAATCTTTGATCGCTTGTTGATAATAATTTTTATTAGAAATGAAAAAATAAAAGCCAGTTATAATAGTCTTGTGGTTAATAAATCGGTAATTTAATTGTTGCACTAAATTGTCCAGAAATGGAAGGAGTACACTTACTTTAAAACATTTTGTAGGATCATCTGTATGATAATTTAATTTAATTTATGTTTTTGTCGTTTAACCATCCTATGATCTGTTCGCGTTTAGAAGCGACCTTGGCGGTCGACTTCTGCACATAGGCGTGGCTTCGTTTCGCAGCGCTAGCCTAACGAGTCTATAGGTGGGAGAAGCGTCTGACCGTCACTGACGAAAACTAGTCGCCGCCTGGGTCGCTTCTTAACATCATGAACAGAGTATTGGAATGTTGATTTCAAAATTCAAAATCAATTTTTTTTACTTTTCTGTTAGTATGTATATGTAATATTATAATAAATAATAATGGACCTATATTGTAATATATATTATGTAATAAATAATAATAATGTAATATATGATACGGCTCAAAGGGGGTGTCATAACCCCCAAACACCCCCCTTGTACACCCCACTATTTGCGGGCCATATACATAATAATATTACACAATTTATACATTTAAATGTAGCCATGAGGTATAAAATATTATTACATTCATTTTTACTAATTGCATACGAGCTAGTTTTTTCAGCAGATTTTTCTGTTGTTTAGTACAGGGGCGCCATTTGGGGGGGAGGGAGCACAGGGTATACTTTGGCTACCCTATTTTGTTTGTGTCTTATTGGCCTGGATTACAATTTACAATGCGCCGATGAGGTTCAATCGTTTTTTAATTTAATTTATATAATTGAAATTGATAAAAGAACCAGAATGATAGTATAATTATTCTATGGAAAAAATAAAAAGTGTCAAGTCTGTATTATGGTGGGATATCAAAGATGATTTGAGGAGTGTAGACGCTCGGGATGATGGTATCAAGAAGTGCGACGAATACACTTACCAGTACTACGCTATCTGACTTTATCAGAAGTTGAAACACGAGGTGCCTACGTAAAAAAAAGAAATAACAAGAATTTTTTAATAAACCATAGTTTATTGCAACAAAAGACTTATATACGTAAAATGTATAGTAATGACAATAGATGCTGCGTGGTCGTGAAGCTAGGTAACGCGGTACAAAAAACGGAAGGAAAGTTCGCTAGATAAATATAATATATTAATTTTTATTTGGAATAAAATGCATTGGTTAAATGTAGGTACCTATACTCAATATTTTTAGATTCATACCAAAGGGCCAACAAATTATTAATGAATAATTTGAATTCATTAAAATATACCCTTCATGAGTTTAACCCAATACAAAAGACTTACACACACACAATATCTGTATTTAATATTTTAAAGAAAAAGTGGCCTAACGAAAAAAAAATGTTGGCACCCTTATTAAAAATCTCAAATGACACCACTGGTTTAGTAGGTTGTAGGTACTAGTCACTAAGTATATTACCTGTTGTGTCTTCGCAATGTTTCACTATTGCTTCGCCATCTATACTCAAGTTAAGAAATAGGTACAGTCGACTAGGCCTGTATTTGGGAGAGGGAGAGGATGCAAGTGTCCCTTGTTGCCCGGGGAGGCGATTTTATATTGAAATATTATGGGGTATCAAAAAACAAAAAAAAGGTATTACTTATACTTCAATCACAGATTATAGAATAAACCAGATTTCTACACTCTGTTTACGTTAAGAATAAACCACTCGGCTGACGAAAACTCGTCTAGCTCGCGCATCCCCGCCACAAAACGATCACCGCCCATAACTGTCGACCAATCACAGAACGCAAAGCGATCGCCGGGGGGGTCAGGCAGTGATCGGCGGCTCAGTCGTCGTGCGCGGAAGTGGTAAATTCTAAACGTGAACAGATTATAACTGTGATAATACGTGAAGTTACCATCTGTCATTTAAAAAGAGGTCAATGAGATCTTATCCACCTATTTAGTGTTTTTGTTTGAATTTTATTGATAATAAACATGGATAATTTTTACAAATACAAATTATTTAACATTACCTCATAAACACGAGTGAAAACGAACATTGGCCTCGATTAAAATGGTGGCCGGTAGCTTCAACGGTTCCAGGACATTTGCGGTCAGAACATTTGCGGTCGGCACCTTGTTCGTGCCGTTTGCGGTCAGCTTATTTATATCTAAATTTAAAGTATATATATAATGTACTTTATATACTAAATTGATTCTATATACTAAATATATAGGTAGGTACATGTGATATATATTGAACTTTCCTTCACACTTTTCCAGGCTTAGGACTGACAGTAATTTTACTGGCGTGTTTACAAGATAATTATTGTTATTATTTTTTATTATTATTATTATTATTAATTGTTACAATTAATGTAACTATATAATTGACATAATACAATTTTAATTTAATACTTCCAAAGTTCTGTGGAGGTTCTGATGTTATCACTACAGAGCGCCTCCAACGTACGTCGTTAAGACGGGGTGCAGTACGAAAAAATACAAAAAAGATTGTCGCCTGGTTAAAGGTAATTTATATATTTTTGTACAACGGGCGTTAGGTTTACAACAGAGAGCACTTTAGTAGTTGAGTGCGTATGTAAATAAATAACGGTCGGTCACGATGAGATTTGCCAAAGTTTGCAAAAGGTCGCAATTCAAAATGTATCGGTGGTCGATGGCGGGAGCGAAGGCGTAGAACGTGCGGTCGGTTACGTTGTCGCGAGGGAAGAGAGGAGACCTGCGGCCGCCGCGCCGCGGTAATCGTCGTCAGCCGGGAATCACTGTGACCAACCGTTTTACAATCATGATCAACGGTGGGAGGTAGTTATGTGGCGGTGGTTCGCCACATTACTCCCCCCCCAACGAAAAAGAAATAAAAATAAAATGGTTTAACAATTTTTAACGTCGAAGTACTGCATGGCGTATGAGTGGTCGGTGATCGGATCGTCGCGCAGGACGAATGCTGGTTTGAGCCGGTCCACTGATATCCACGCCGTCCGATGATCCAACTGCAGCTTGTAATCCTTCTCCCGACGCTGTAGGACGGCGTAGGGCCCTTCGTATCGAGGCTGAAGTGGCGTCCGATGCGCGTCAATGCGGATGAATACGTGGCTGACCGCGGCCAGGCGCGTCGGTATGAAGACGCGTCGAGTTGGGTCGTGGTTGGATCCGGGAGCAGATCGGAGCAAAGCCATGGACGCCTTGAGTGACGCGACGAAATCGGGTGTCCCTACCTCAGGTGGTGCTGAGTGGAAAAGCTCGCCAGGTAATCGTAACGAGGTCCCGTACACTAGCTCGGCGGGGGTCGATCCGATGTCTGGTTTGATCGTATTGCGCAGCGCGAGGAGAACGATCGGTAGGTGCTGTGACCAATGCGGCGACTCGTGTGCCGAAAGTGCTGCCTTAAGAGTCCGATGAAACCGCTCGACCAATCCGTTCGCTTGAGGATGGTAAGGCGAGGTGCGGACGTGCTGGATCCCGAAAACCGTGTTGAGAGCTCGCATTAGTTCAGACTCAAATTGCCGTCCCTGATCTGTGGTGATAATATCAGGAACTCCAAAACGGGCGATCCAGTTCGTCACGAGCGTGTTGGCGACGGTGTGAGCATTCATGTTCTCGACGGGCCATGCTTCGGGCCAGCGCGTGAAACGATCGACGCAGGTAAGCAGGTACTTGGCGTTGTTCGACGGGGGAAGTGGCCCGACGAGGTCTAGATGGATGTGTCCGAAACGTCGATTCGGCGACGTGAACGATGCGAGCGGCGTCGCCGTGTGCCTGTGAACCTTGGATTTCTGGCACTGCACGCACGTTCTGACCCACCGTCGTATTTCCCGATCCATGCCTGGCCACACGAAACGTTCCTTGACGATACGCGCGGTGGCTGCGCTGCCGCCGTGTGCCTGCCGATGTAAGGAGGTGAAGACCGCGCGCCGATGTTTTTGTGGTACAAACAACCTCGATCTATTGTACGCGATGTCGAAGTAGACGGGTCCATTCGCGGTATGCCGTGCGTCGAGTTCCAACGAGGATTCCATTCTCCCGGCGAGAAGGTCCTGCAGTTCCGTGTCATTGGCCTGATCAACTGACCACTGGTCGAGATCGGGTAGCCCGTCGTCGAAAGTCGCCAACTCCAGCCGGGACAGTGCGTCAGGCACCGTGTTGCGTTCACCACTGACATGCTCGATCTCGTGAAAGTATTGTGACAGGAACGCAATATGACGTGCTTGGCGGCCAATCAGTTTTTCTGCCTTCTGTGAAAACATGAACAGCAACGGTCGATGATCCGTTCGAAGCGTCGTTGGTCTCCCCTCGATTGAGTGGACGAAATGTCGAGCCGCGAGTAGTTCGCGGTCGTACGTGCTATACCGTGCCTGCGTGGAAGAAAGCTTGCACGAGAAAAAACCGAGCGGCTGCCAACTCCCTTCGACGTGCTGTTCGAGAACCGCCCCGACGGCGATGTTCGAAGCGTCCGTGCTGAGGCGTAACGGCGCGTCGCTCTGCGGGTGAACAAGGCGCGTGGTGTCAGCGAGTGCCTCGCGACAAAGTCTAAACGACTCCCTTGCTGTGTCGTTCCAGCTGAGTGGGCCGTCACGTCCTTTCACTGCCGCAGCGACGTCGTATAGTGCCGCCTGCATTTTGGCTGCACCCGCGACGAAACGATGATAAAAAATCAGTGAGCCAAGAAAACGTTGCAACTCCTTTTTTGATTTTGGCTGTGGCCACTGGCGAATGGCAGCCGCGCTATCTGGATTGGGGCGCAGGCCTTGTGCGTCGACGACGTGGCCGAGGAACTTGAGCGAGAGTCCGCTGCGAAAACGCACTTGGCCGGGTTGACGGCTATACCGCACTCTTCGAAACGTCCCAGAACCGTGCGAACATGTTCGACGTGTTGTTCCACGCTCACCGACGCGATCAGTACGTCGTCGACGTATGCGAAAACGAACTCGAGGCCGGCGAGAATCGAGTTGACT